AACTTCTTTTGGAAGAACATAGTATGTCGCTTCGGGCTACCTCGGGTACTGATCTCCAACAACGGCAAAAAGTTCGAGGATATCAAGTTCCAAGAATGGTGCCAAAGTATGGGAATTAGTCAGAACTTCACGCCGGTCGCACACCCGCAGGCAAATGGCCAAACAGAAGTAATGAACAGAGCCATATTCCGCGGATTGAAAGCACGACTAGATCGAGCTAAAGGGTTGTGGGCGGACGAGCTATCAAGTGTTCTATGGGTTCACCGAACCACGGAAAAAACCGCCACAGGGGAGACCCCCTTTAACCTCTCCTACGACACCGAAGCGGTAATCCCGGCGGAAATCGAAGTACCTACGCTGCGACTAGAAGCATACGACGAGCAGACAAACGAAGACGAGTTACGCACCAACCTCGACCTACTGGACGAGGTGAGAAACCTCGCGCACATCCGAAGTGCGGCCTACCAACAAAAGGTAGCTCGGTACTATAACGCCAGAGTAAAGAAGAGGAACTTCCRCGTCGGCGACCTGGTTCTCCGTAAGGTCATGGTACCCGAACCCGGCGTAGGAAAACTTAGACCAAATTGGGAAGGACCCTACAGAGTAAAGAAAGCACTCGGGGGGGCATACGAGCTTGAAACCCTAGAGGGAAAACAAGTACCCCGAGCATGGAACATTGTCAACCTAAGGCGATACTACTTGTAACCGTCAAGCAAAGTGGATAAAATCACCACCAAAGCCTACGGGATAGGATGCCGAACTAACAAAGGAACCTCGGCACAGGCAAGCAAAGAAAAGAGCTAAAGCCGAAACGGAGACAACGAACTAATAGAAACGGACATATAGTCAGTTCGGCAAATACGTTCAGTTCGGCAAATATGCTCAGTTCGGGAGAAAGAATAATCAACACTTAAACAAAGTCATTCCATTCCAAAAGTAAGGTAGTACATAAAAAAAAATATTTACAAGCCCGGAGCTATTTCTTCATCATCAGAAGGCACTTCAACAAAACCCGAAGGCCTCGCCTCGCCATCAGAGTCTGGCTCGGTGTCAGCAACATTAGCCATCTCCTGAGTTATGCGCGAAGTGGATATGGCGCTAACATCAAGCTCGGGGTACGTATTCCGGATCATCCATTGGCTTAGTTTAAAACCCCTCCTATATGAATCCACCATCAGATCATCAAAGCCCGGCGAAGCAATGTACTCATCGACGRCCTTCTTCTTGGCATCTTCGATACCTTGAGAAAAGATCTGCGTCCTCTCCCTGATATCCTCCTAAAACCCACTAGGGGAGTGTTCGCGGGTTTTAGTTCGCTCCTCTGTAACTGTAGTTGGTCAAATGCTGATTTAAAGAGGATGTCCGCCGAGCTGCTCAAATCTACGAGTACGTGTCTGACCTCGAAGTCGCTGATCCTTAGTTTAATGACGAGCGCATCATCGTGGGGGTAGCGGACCCCCCGCGCGTCGTCCTCCGTGAAGAAGATTGGTTCTTCGGTCTTTGGTCTCTTTGGGGGGTTCCGTTCCTCGAGGGCCGCTTCGCGAACTGAAGTCTGGGCTGCTGCCGAGGTACACCCTGCTACCACCGAACCTCCCACAATTACATGGATGGTTCCCCGAACTGGCCTCTCCTTCGGAGGCTATCGCTGCAACGGTTCGGTAGGTCTGCTACTAGATTCGGGGGCATCCTTTTCGTGCTCCCCTTGCCGACCTGCCTTATTGTTATTATTGTTATGCTGTACAAAATTTCTCAAGTATCCGCGACGGATGAGCCCCTCTATCTCGTCTCGGAGATTATTACACTGCTCGGTACTATGACCATGGTCTCTATGGAAACTACAATACAAATTCTTATTTTTTCGTACGGATTTCCCTTTAGGCGAGGTGTCCACTTCACGTATGGGGCGTCCTTGATCGTCATTAAGATCTCGGTCCGCCTTGTGTTCAACGGCGTGTAATCCGTCCGAACTGCTAGGGGAGCTCAGAACAACTGGTTCGGCTTCGCCTCTCGGGCCGGGTTTTTCCAGTCGATTGGGTTGGAGGGCTCACCTTCCCTCTTTCTTTTCTCGTTCCCACCCTCGGTTCGTTGGTTGATTTCTTCCTCTGTCCTCATGAACTTGTCCGCGAGCTTGAGGAATTCGGCCACGGTTGCGGGCTGGTTAGCTACCATGTGCCATTTGAATTCTTTGTGCGTTACCCCTCTTTTTGCCGCCGCAAGCTACACCGCGGGGTCCAACTGCGGTATCTGCAAGCATGCTTCATTGAATCGCTTAATGTAGCCCCGTATGGATTCTCCTTCCCTTTGGACTACTCTGAAGATGCTTTCCTCTGTTCTGGGACACCGTTTGCTGGTGACAAAGTGTGCGGTGAAGACCTGCAAGAATTGAGCCCAACACTTTATCGA